ACAAATCCAGGGAAAGGGGTTTGGGCTTCCCTGTGGGTGCAGCTGGGATTCCCGTGGTGTCCAAGTGGGGCAGGAAAAGAGGACATGGATCCATCCACACTTCCTGAAAAACCTGGGATGGTGGGAGGTGTCCCTGTCCGTGGAATGGGATGGGCTTTGAGGTCCCCTCCCACCCAAACCACTCCAGGATTCCAGGATCATCCCATTCCACGGCCTGGGGAATCCGGAGGAACGAGGATTTGGGGAATTCTTTTTCTCCCATTGATGCCTTCCATTATCCCAGGGTGATCCAACCTTTCCTTGGACACTCCCAGGGATTCTCTGGGAATCCCAGCCCAGCCAGGAATCCCTTCCCAGGATCCCAGCATCCCAAGCTCCCCTTTCCCACTGGAAGCCATTCCCTGGCTCCTGCCCCTCCAGCCCTTGCCCCAATCCCAGCTCTCCTGGAGCCCCTTTGGGATGGGGAAGCGGCTCCAAGGATTCCCTGGATCCTCCCCTGATCCAGCTGCACATTCCCAGCTGCTCTCCCAGCCTGGCGTTGGATCCAGCCCCATCCCGATTCCTCCTTGAGAAGGAATTTCGGGATCCAGGGGCTTCACTGGGAATCGGGGACTCCAGGAAGGGTCTCCCTTCCCTTTTCCACCCCCAAATTCCATAAAAATCCCTCGGGATGGATCCTGAGTGTCCCTGATCCCAGAATCCCGGAATGGTTTGGGATGGGATCCATGGACCTTCAATCCCATCCCAGGAACAATTCCCACCATCCCAGGGTGCTCCAAATCCACCCTTGGATGCTCCCAGGGATTCTCTGGGAATCCCATCCCAGCCGGGAATCCCTTCCCAGGATCCCAGCATCCCAAGCTCCCCTTTCCCACTGGAAGCCATTCCCTGGCTCCTGCCCCTCCAGCCCTTGCCCCAATCCCAGCTCTCCTGGAGCCCCTCTGGAAATGGGTCCAAGGATTCCCTGGATCCTTCTGGAATCCAAGACTTGGATAAAAGGGAGGAATTTGCACCTGGGATAAAAGCAGTAATGGGATCATTAATTAATTAATTAAGCTTCTGCTTATTAAGTGATTCATTAATCCCTTAGCAGGGTATTGCTTATCCAGGAAGGATCATGGAATTTTGGCTGGTGATCCAATGGGAACGTTCAGATCCAAAACACATCCAGGAGAATCTTGGGAATACCTCGCACCCTTGGAAACTTTTCCAAGGAAAACCAAGAGCCAAAAAAGATTGGTTCATTCTCTGGGAATTATTTATTCGTGGGATGCTTGGAAGGCAACTTTTCCATGGATTTATCCATAAAAAACGACATTCCAGGGAAAACAGAGTCCGGAATATCGGAAAGAATCCACAAGGAGAGCACCAAGAGGGAAGGGAGTGGTTGGAAGGGATAAATCCATTTTTCCCTCCTCAGAAAACATGGAATAGGAAAAAAGGTAATTTAATTAAATATTAATTGAGTTCAATATTAATTAACTTAACTTAAATTAAATTAAATTAAATTAAATTAAATTAAATATTCATCACCAAGTGCATGGAGGGTGGAGCCGAGTCCCAGATTCCAAATCCAGATCCTGGGAAAAGGCAAAGCCGGGAAAAAAGGAGGGTTTCCAGCTGGAAGTACCCATGGAAAATTAAAATTAACTATCCAAATTAATTATTCAAATCAATTATTCCAATTAGCCAAATCAATTCTAATTATCCAGAGTAAGGCAGTGGAAAAAAATGGGGTTTAAATCCTGTCTGATCATTCCTGATCCCCTTTTAGGATGGACAGGAAATCCATCCGGAATTCTTTGCCGGAGGAAGGGCGGGGAGGGGAAAATGGAAGGAGAAATGGAAAAAATTCCCAGTTTTTTTGGGGGTTTTTTTGCTTTGGAATCCTTGCATTTGGAATATTTTTATTCCCGAGGGTGTGGAACGCAATCCTTCCTCGTTTTCCTGTGATTCCATCTCTGGGAATGAACCCTGGATCTCCCAGTTTCCCTCGGAGCCGATTCCCTGCATCCCCGCGGCTGTGGATCTTCGGGATCTTGGGAAACGGGATGCAAATCCTCAGGAATAAAATCTGCTCCGGCAAATCCCACGGGGAAAACCCCCCCAGGAGCGCTTCCATTGCTTCCCTTGGGAAATTCCATTGGGATGGCGGGCACGGAACTCCACGTGGATCAGCCCGGAGCTGATTCCCAGCGCCTGAAATCCTGGATTCAGTCTTGGGAATGCCCTTCCCGGGAATCACCTCCACATTCCCAGGAGATCTCCCACACTGGAGCACTTGGATTGATTCCCCATTGGATCCATTCCCTTCCCGGGAATCACCTCCACATTCCCAGGAGATTTGGATCCTGACTGGATCCATTCCCTTCCCCAGAACCACCTCCACCTCCACATTCCCAGGAGATCTCCCACGTTGGAGGACTCGAATCGATTCCCTGTTGGATCCATTCTCTTCCCAGGAATCATCTCCACATTCCCAGGAGATCTCCCACACTGGAGCACTCGGATCAATTCCCCATTGGATCCATTCTCTTCCCAAGAACCATCCCCACATTCCCAGGAGATCTCCTATGTTGGAGCACTCGGATCGATTTCCCGTTAGATCTCGTTTGGATCCATTCCCTTCCACATTCCCAGGAGATCTCCAACATTGGAGGACTCGGATCAATTCCCCATTGGATCCTGGTTGGATCCATCCCTTCCACATTCCCAGGAGATCTCCAACATTGGAGCACTTGGATCGATTCCCCGTTGGATCCCAGTTGGATCCATTCCCTTCCCAGGAATCACCTCCACATTCCCAGGAGATCTCTCACATTGGAGCACTTGGACCAATTCCCGGTTGGATCCCGGCTGGGCCCATTCCCTTCCCCATTCCCAGGAGATCTCCCACATTGGAGCACTTGGATCAATTCCCGGTTGGATTCTGGTTGGATCCATTCCTTCCCCAGGAATCACCTCCACATTCCCAAATTTGGATCCTGATTGGATGCATTCCTTTCCAAGCTGGATTTAGTCTTGGGAATGCCCTTCCCAGGAATCACCTCCACATTCCTGGGAGATTTGGGTCCTGGCTGGATCCACATTCCCAGGACATGTCCCACGTTGGATCAATTCCCCATTGGATCCCGACTGGATCCAGAATCACCTCCAAATTCCCAGGAGATCTCTCACATTGGAGGTCTCGGATCGCTTCCATGCTGGATCCCTGTTGAATCCATTCCCTTCCCAGGAATCACCTCCACATTCCCAGGAGATCTCTCACATTGGAGCACTTGGATCAGTTCCCGGTTGGATTCTGGTTGGATCCATTCCTTCCCCAGGAATCACCTCCACATTCCCAAATTTGAATCCGGATTGGATGCATTCCTTTCCAAGCTGGATTTAGTCTTGGGAATGCCCTTCCCAGGAATCACCTCCACATTCCCGAGATTTGGGTCCTGGTTGGATCCACATTCCCAGGACATGTCCCACATTGGATCAATTCCCCATTGGATCCCGACTGGATCCAGAATCACCTCCAAATTCCCAGGAGATCTCCCACACTGGAGCACTTGGATTGATTCCCCATTGGATCCACTCCTTCCCCAGGAATCACCTCCACATTCCCAGGAGATCTCTCACATTGGAGCACTTGGATCAATTCCCGGTTGGATTCTGGTTGGATCCATTCCTTCCCCAGGAATCACCTCCACATTCCCAGATTTGGATCCTGATTGGATTCATTCCTTTCTAAGCTGGATTTAGTCTTGGGAATGCCCTTCCCAGGAATCACCTCCAAATTCCCAGGAGATCTCCCTCATTGGAGGACTCGGATCGATTCCCCGTTGGATCCACATTCCCTTCCCAGGAATCACCTCCACATTCCCAGGAGATCTCCCACGTTGGATCCCTGGGATCAATTCCCTGTTGGATCCTGGCTGGGCCCATTCCCTTCCCCATTCCCAGGAGCTCTCCAACATTGGAGCACTCGGATCGATTCCCCGTTGGATCCCAGCTGGATCCATTCCCTTCCCAGGAATCACCTCCACATTCCCAGGACTTCTCCCATGTTGGAAGATTCAGATCCATTCCCTTCCCTTCCCAGTTGGATCCATTCCCTTCAAATTCCCAGGAGATCTCCCACACTGGAGGTCTCGGATCGCTTCCATGCTGGATCCCTGTTGCATCCATTCCCTTCCCAGGAACCACCTCCACATTCCCAGGAGATCTCCCACGTTGGATCCCTGGGATCAATTCCCTGTTGGATCCCGGTTGGATCCACGCCTTCCCCAGGAATCACCTCCACATTCCCAGGAGATCTCCCATGTTGGAGCACTCGGATCAATTCCCGGTTGGATTCTGGTTGGATCCATTCCTTCCCCAGGAATCACCTCCACATTCCCAGATTTGGATCCTGATTGGATTCATTCCTTTCCAAGCTGGATTTAGTCTTGGGAATGCCCTTCCCAGGAATCACCTCCACATTCCCAGGAGATTTGGGTCCTGGTTGGATCCACATTCCCAGGACATCTCCCACGTTGGAGCAATTCCCCATTGGATCCTGATTGGATCCAGAATCACCTCCACATTCCCAGGAGATCTTCCACACTGGAGCACTTGGATCAATTTCCCATTGGATCCCTGTTGGATCCATTCCCTTCCCAGGAATCACCTCCACATTCCCAGGAGATCTCCCATGTTGGAGCACTCGGATCAATTCCCGGTTGGATTCTGGTTGGATCCATTCCTTCCCCAGGAATCACCTCCACATTCCCAAGAGATTTGGGTCCTGGTTGGATCCATTCCCTTCCCAGGAACCACCTCCACCTTCCCAGGAGATCTCCCACATTGGATCCCTGGGATCAATTCCCTGTTGGATCCCGGCTGGATCCCATTCCCACAAAACCCAACCGCACCAGCTTGGCCCATCCTGAATCCACTTCCCGGCGCCATTCCCGGCCCTCCCTTCCCGCGGTCCCGTGGGAGGCGAAGCCGGGGCAGGCCCCGGGCGGGCGTCACGGGGAGAGGCGGGGCCGGAAGGCGCGGGGCCGGATCATCATCACCACCTTGCGCAGGGAATAATAGTCCGTGTCCTTCCAGGAGTACCACACGATCCCGTCCGGGCCCAGCAGCCTCCGGTTCTTGATGGAATAGCGGCCGCCCTGCGGGGGGAGCAGGGAAAGGAGATCAGGTAAAAAAAAAAACAAAACAACCCCAAAATACAACAAAAAAATGCAAAATATGGCAAAAAAACCAACCCCAAAATACAGGCATATTAACAAAATCATAGAAACAACATAATCGGTAGAGAATAAAATAATTTGGTTTGATTCTTACTCTGTTTTTAAAATTTTAATTGCTTTTAATAAAATGCTGGTTTGTAGCCTTTTAAAGGTTTAAATCGACTTTACCTTTCTCCTAATCTGTGTCACGACAAAAATTAAATCCATTATAATTATAATATAAAATAATATATAATTCATAGTAATTATAATAATTATTATTAACAAAAATATTTATTATTTCTATATTTCTAAACATTTGTATATATTTTATAGATATTCTGTATTTTATAGATTTTATAGATTTTATAGATTTATAGATTTATATAAATTATATAAATCTATATAATTTTTTATATATATAAATTATATAAATCTATAAATCTATAATAATTATAAAATACAAAATAATAGTACTGTTATACATTATAATAATATAATAGTAATACAATAATATAAAATAATTATAATATTATCATAACACTATATAATATTAATATAATATTACAATTACAATACTACTAGTATATTATTACACTAATGGTATTATTAATAATATTTATCAATATTATTATATTAATTAATTTTATTATGATACATAATAATATTGTTAAAATAATAATAATAATAATAATAATAATAATAATAATAATAATAATAATAATAATAATAATAATAATAATAATAACACCACCAAACCCACACATCAACACATTATTTAAGAAATCTCGGAATTGAAAAAATAATGAAAAATTAAATTAATTTAATTAAGATAACTGAACAAAATTACAACTTTAATTTAACAAAATTAAATTAATTAACATTAATTAAAGTAACGAACCAAAACCACTATAAGTGGAAAACACTTGGAAGCATTTTGGGATGGGATCATGGATAAAACAACCTCTTGGAAACACAGGAGCAGGACTGGAATTGCTGGGAATGCTTGGATTCAGCCCTGGAGAACTTTTCCAACCTCAACAATTCCAGGATGATCTCCCAGAAAATGAAGGATGGGATCCAGCTGTGCCAGGGGAGGTTTGGCTGGATTTTGGGCAGATTTTGGTTGGATTTTGGTTGGATTTTGGGCAGATTTCCCATTCCTGGATGGATTTGGGAGCACATGGATCAGTGGCAGGATCAGAAATGCTGGGAACACTTGGATTTGGCCTTGGAGAACTTTTCCAACCTCAACAATTCCGGAATGATCTCCCAGGGAATGAGGGATGGGGTCCAGCAGTGCCAGGGGAGGTTTGGTTGGATTTTGGTTGGATTTGGGGCAGATTTCCCATTCCTGGATGGATTTGGGAGGACACGGATCAGTGGCAGGATTGGAAATCCTGGGAATGCTTGGATTCAGCCCCGGAGATCTTCTCCAACCTCAGAAATTCCGGAATGATCTCCCAGGGAATGAGGGATGGGGTCCAGCCGTGCCAGGGGAGGTTTGGTTGGATTTTGGTTGGATTTTGGTTGGATTTTGGTTGGATTTTAGGCAGATTTCCCATTCCTGGATGGATTTGGGAGGACACGGATCAGTGTCAGCATCGGAAATGCTGGGAATGCTTGGATTCGGCCCCGGAGATCTTCTCCAACCTCAACAATTCTGGAATGATCTCCTTGGGAATGAGGGATGGGATCCAGCTGTGCCAGGGGAGGTTTGGCTGGATTTTGGTTGGATTTTGGGCAGATTTCCCATTCCTGGATAGATTTGGGAGGACACACGGATCAGTGGCAGGATCAGAAATGCTGGGAATGCTTGGATTTGGCCTTGGAGAACTTCTCCAACCTCAACAATTCAGGAATGATCTCCCAGGGAATGAGGGATGGGGTCCAGCTGTGCCAGGGGAGGTTTGGCTGGATTTTGGTTGGATTTTGGTTGGATTTTGGTTGGATTTTGGGCAGGTTTCCCATTCCTGGATGGATTTGGGAGGACACGGATCAGTGTCAGCATCGGAAATGCTGGGAATGCTTGGATTCAGCCCCGGAGAACTTTTCCAACCTCAGGAATTCCGGAATGATCTCCTTGGGAATGAGGGATGGGGTCCAGCTGTGCCAGGGGAGGTTTCGTTGGATTTTGGTTGGATTTTGGTTGGATTTCCCATTCCTGGATGGATTTGGGAGGACACAGATCAGAGGCAGCATTGGAATTGCTGGGAATGCTTGGATTCAGCCCTGGAGAACTTTTCCAACCTCAACAATTCCGGAATGATCTCCCAGGGAATAAGGGACGGGATCCGGCTGTGCCAGGGGAGGTTTGGTTGGATTTTGGTTGGATTTTGGTTGGATTTTGGTTGGATTTTGGTTGGATTTTGGGCAGATTTCCCATTCCTGGATGTAATTGGGAGGACATGGATCAGTGTCAGCATCGGAAATGCTGGGAATGCTTGGATTCAGCCCCGGAGAACTTCTCCAACCTCAACAATTCAGGAATGATCTCCCAGAAAATGAGGGATGGGATCCAGCTGTGCCAGGGGAGGTTTGGCTGGATTTTGGTTGGATTTTGGTTGGATTTTGGTTGGATTTGGGGCAGATTTCCCATTCCTGGATGTAATTGGGAGGACACGGATCAGTGTCAGGACCAGAAATCCTGGGAATGCTTGGATTCAGCCTCAGAGAACTTCTCCAACCTCAACAATTCAGGAATGATCTCCTTGGGAATGAAGGATGGGATCCAGCAGTGCCAGGGGAGGTTTGGTTGGATTTTGGTTGGATTTTGGTTGGATTTTGGTTGGATTTTGGTTGGATTTTGGTTGGATTTTGGGCAGATTTCCCATTCCTGGATGGATTTGGGAGGACACGGATCAGTGTCAGCATCGGAAATGCTGGGAATGCTTGGATTCAGCCTCAGAGAACTTCTCCAACCTCAACAATTCCGGAATGACCTCCTTGGGAATGAGGGATGGGATCCATCTGTGCCAGGGGAGGTTTGGTTGGATTTTGGTTGGATTTTGGGCAGATTTCCCATTCCTGGATGGACTTTGGAGGACACGGATCAGTGGCAGGACCGGAAATCCTGGGAATGGTTGGATCCAGCCCCAGAGAACTTTTCCAACCTCAACAATTCCACAATTCCAGGAGCAACCCCCTCCCACCCTCTCCATCCCGCTTTTCCTTGACATCCATCCCTTTTTTTTTTGAGGGGGGGCGTCACTAAAAAAATCTCCAACCGGGAAAAAAAGAAAAATTCCCCAAAATTCCCCAAAATCCCCTCCCTTCACCTTGTAGTAGACGCCGTTGAGGTTGGAGAAGAAGCACTGGTGGTACCACCAGCCCCCGTGGGAGATCTCGGCGCAGACGTTGCCGGAGTCCGGGGTGCTGAAGCTCCTCTTGTCGTGGTACCAAGCGAAGGAATCCTCCACGGTGCCGCTGAACCCGTCCACGTGCAGCCGGTAGAAGTTCTCCTCGTCCTCGATGCTGCCAAGGAGTGGGAAAAAAAACAAAGGAATTTTTTTCCTCGGGGTTGTCGGAATTGTGTCGGAATTTTCATTTTCCAGCCTGGGGTACTTTATTGCCTTCAGTGGTCGGGGATTTGGGAGTTTCGGGATGAAAATTCTGAATTTTCTGAATTTTCTGAATTTTCTGAATTCTGAATTTTCCTCGTCCTCAATGCTGCTGGTGGGGGGGGGAAAAACAGAGGAATTTTTCCCTTGGGGTTGTCGGAATTCTGTCAGAATTTTCATTTTCCAGCCTGGGGTACTTTATTTCTTTCTGAATTTGGGAATTTCGGGATGAAAATTCTGAATATTCTGAATATTCTGAATTCTGAATTTTCCTCATCCTCGATGCTGCCAAAGATGGGGGAAAAAAAACAAAGGAATTTTTTCCCTTGGGGTTGTCGGAATTGTGTAGGAATTTTCATTTTCCAGCCTGGGGTACTTTATTGCCTTCTGTGGGAGGGGATTTGGGAGTTCCGGGATGAAAATTCTGAATTTTCTGAATATTCTGAATTCTGAATTCTCCTCGTCCTCAATGCTGCCAAGGATTGGGAAAAAAAACAAAGGATTTTTTTCCTTAAGATTGTCGGAATTGTGTTGGAATTTTCATTTTCCAGCCTGGGGTACTTTATTGCCTTTCTGTGGGAGGGGATTTGGGAGTTTCGGGATGAAAATTCTGAATTTTATTAATTTTATTAATTTTCTGAATTTTCTGAATTTTCTGAATTTTCTGAATTTTCTGAATTTTCTGAATTTTCTGAATATTCTGAATTTTCTGAATTTTCCTCGTCCTCAATGCTGCCAAAGATGGGGGGAAAAAAACAAAGGAATTTTTCATTTTTCTCCTTGGGGTTGTCGGAATTCTGTCGGAATTTTCATTTTCCAGCCTGGGGTACTTTATTTCTTTCTGAATTTGAGAATTTCGGGATGAAAATTCTGAATATTCTGAATATTCTGAATATTCTGAATTCTGAATTTTCCTCATCCTCGATGCTGCTAAAGATGGGGGGGAAAAAAAAACAAAGGAATTTTTTTCCTTGGGGTTGTCGGAATTGTGTAGGAATTTTCATTTTTTTCATTTTCCAGCCCGGGGTACTTTATTGCCTTTCTGTGGTCGGGGATTTGGGAGTTTCGGGATGAAAATTCTGAATTTTCTGAATATTCTGAATATTCTGAATTTTCTGAATATTCTGAATTCTGAATTTTCCTCATCCTCAATGCTGCCAGTGGGGGGGGGAAAAACAAAGGAATTTTTTCCCTTGGGATTGTCAGAATTGTGTTGGAGTTTTCATTTTCGAGCCTGGGGTATTTTATTGCCTTTCTGTGGTCGGGGATTTGGGAATTTCGGGATGAAAAATCTGAATATTCTGAATATTCTGTATTCTGAATTTTCCTCGTCCTCAATGCTGCTGGTGGCGGGGCGGGTGACGGGGGAAACAAAGGAATTTTTCCTTGGAATTGTCGGAATTCTGTTGGAATTTTCATTTTTTTAATTTTCCAGCCTGGGGTACTTTATTGCCTTCTGTGGGAGGGGATTTGGGAGTTTCGGGATGAAAATTCTGAATTTTCTGAATATTCTGAATTTTCTGAATTTTCTGAATATTCTGAATTCTGAATTTTCCTCGTCCTCGATGCTGCCAAAGATTGGGGGGGGGGGAAAAAACAAAGGAATTTTTTTCCTTGGGATTGTAGGAATTCTGTTGGAATTTTCATTTTCCAGCCTGGGGTACCTTATTGCCTTCAGTGGTCGGGGATTTGGGAGTTGGGAGTTTCGGGATGAAAATTCTGAATTTTCTGAATATTCTGAATATTCTGAATTCTGAATTTTCCTCGTCCTCGATGCTGCCAAGGATTGGGGGAAAAAAACAAAGGAATTTTTTTCCTCGGGGTTGTCGGAATTCTGTCGGAATTTTCATTTTCCAGCCTGGGCTATTTTATTGCCTTTCTGTGGGAGGGGATTTGGGAGTTTCGGGATGAAAATTCTGAATTTTCCGAATATTCTGAATTTTCCTCGTCCTCGATGCTGCCAAGGATTGGGGGGAAAAAAAACAAAGGAATTTTTTCCCTTAAGATTGTCGGAATTCTGTCAGAATTTTCATTTTTTTCATTTCCCAGCCTGGGGTACTTTATTGCCTTCTGTGGTCGGGGATTGGGGAGTTTCGGGATGAAAATTCTGAATTTTCTGAATATTCTGAATATTCTGAATTCTGAATTTTCTGAATTTTCTGAATTTTCTGAATTTTCTGAATTTTCCTCGTCCTCAATGCTGCCAGTGTAGGGGGGGGGGGGAAACAAAGGAATTTTTTCCCTTGGTGTTGTCGGAATTCTGTCAGAATTTTCATTTTTTTCATTTTCCAGCCTGGAGTACCTTATTGCCTTCAGTGGTCGGGGATTTGGGAGTTTCGGGATGAAAATTCTGAATTTTATGAGTTTTCTGAATTTTCTGAATATTCTGAATTTTCCTCGTCCTCGATGCTGCCAAAGATGGGGGGGAAAAAACAAAGGAATTTTTTTCCCTTGAGATTGTCAGAATTCTGTCAGAATTTTCATTTTTTTCATTTTCCAGCCTGGGGTACTTTGTTGCCTTTCTGTGGGAGGGGATTTGGGAGTTTCGGGATGAAAAACCTGAATTTTCTGAATATTCTGAATATTCTGAATAGTCTGAATATTCTGAATTCTGAATTTTCCTCGTCCTCAATGCTGCCAGTGGGGGGGGGGGAAAAAACAAAGGAATTTTTCTCCTTGGGGTTGTCGGAATTCTGTCGGAATTTTCATTTTCCAGCCTGGGGTACCTTATTGCCTTTCTGTGGGAGGGGATTTGGGAGTTTCGGGATGAAAATTCTGAATTTTATTAATTTTATTAATTTTATGAATATTCTGAATTTTCTGAATATTCTGAATTTTCTGAATATTCTGAATTTTCTGAATTTTCCTCGTCCTCAATGCTGCCAAAGATGGGGGGAAAAAAACAAAGGAATTTTTCATTTTTCTCCTTGGGGTTGTCGGAATTCTGTCGGAATTTTCATTTTCCAGCCTGGGGTATTCTATTTCTTTCTGGATTTGAGAATTTCGGGATGAAAATTCTGAATTTTCTGAATATTCTGAATTTTCTGAATTTCCTGAATTTTCCGAATTTTCTGAATTTTCCTCGTCCTCGATGCTGCCAAGGATTGGGAAAAAAAACAAAGGAATTTTTTTCCTTGGGGTTGTCGGAATTCTGTCGGAATTTTCATTTCCCAGCCTGGGGTACTTTATTGCCTTTCTGTGGGAGGGGATTTGGGAGTTTCGGGATGAAAATTCTGAATTTTCTGAATATTCTGAATATTCTGAATTCTGAATTTTCTGAATTTTCTGAATTTTCTGAATTTTTTGAATTTTCTGAATTTTCTGAATATTCTGAATTCTGAATTTTCTGAATTTTCTGAATTTTCTGAATTTTCTGAATTTTCTGAATTTTCTGAATTTTTTGAATTTTCTGAATTTTCTGAATTTTCTGAATTTTCCTTGTCCTCAATGCTGCCAGTGGTGGGGGGGGGAAAAAAAACAAAGGAATTTTTCCTTCGGGTTGTCGGAATTCTGTTGGAATTTTCATTTTCCAGCCTGGGGCACTTTATTGCCTTTCTGTGGTCGGGGATTTGGGAGTTTCGGGATGAAAATTCTGAATTTTCTGAATTTTCTGAATATTCTGAATTTTCTGAATATTCTGAATTCTGAATTTTCTGAATATTCTGAATTTTCTGAATTTTCTGAATTTTTTGAGTTTTTTGAATTTTCTGAATTTTCTGAATTCTGAATTTTCCTCGTCCTCGATGCTGCCAAGGATGTGGGGGAAAAAAAACAAAGGAATTTTTTTCCTTGGGGTTGTCGGAATTGTGTCGGAATTTTCATTTTCCAGCCTGGGGTACTTTATTTCTTTCTGAATTTGAGAATTTCGGGATGAAAATTCTGAATATTCTGAATATTCTGAATTCTGAATTTTCCTCATCCTCGATGCTGCCAAGGATTGGGGGGAAAAAAAACAAAGGAATTTTTTCCCTTGGGGTTGTCGGAATTCTGTCAGAATTTTCATTTTCGAGCCTGGGCTACTTTATTGCCTTTCTGTGGGAGGGGATTTGGGAGTTTCGGGATGAAAATTCTGAATTTTCTGAATTTTCTGAATATTCTGAATTTTCTGAATATTCTGAATTCTGAATTTTCCTCGTCCTCAATGCTGCCGGTGGGGGGGGGAAAACCAACGGAATTTTTTTCCTTGGGGTTGTCGGAATTCTGTCGGAATTTTCAGTTTTTCATTTCCCAGCCTGGGGTACTTTATTGCCTTTCTGTGGGAGGGGATTTGGGAGTTTCGGGATGAAAATTCTGAATTTTATGAGTTTTCTGAATTTTCTGAATTTTCTGAATTTTCCTCGTCCTCAATGCTGCAGTGGGGGGGGAAAAACAACGGAATTTTTTTCCCTTAGGGTTGTCGGAATTCTGTCGGAATTTTCATTTCCCAGCCTGGGGCACTTTATTGCCTTTCTGTGGGAGGGGATTTGGGAGTTTCGGGATGAAAACTCTGAATTTTCTGAATTTTCTGAATATTCTGAATATTCTGAATTTTCTGAATTTTCCTTGTCCTCGATGCTGCCAAGGATTGGGGGGAAAAAAAACAAAGGAATTTTTCCCTTAAGATTGTCAGAATTCTGTCAGAATTTTCATTTTTTTCATTTCCCAGCCTGGGCTATTTTATTGCCTTTCTGTGGTCGGGGATTTGGGAATTTCGGGATGAAAATTCTGAATTTTCTGAATATTCTGAATTTTCTGAATTTTCTGAATATTCTGAATTTTCTGAATTTTCCTCGTCCTCAATGCTGCCAGTGGGGGGGGGAAACAAAGGAATTTTTTCCCTTGGGGTTGTTGGAATTCTGTCGGAATTTCGGAATTTTCATTTTCCAGCCTGGGGTACTTTATTTCTTTCTGAATTTGAGAATTTCGGGATGAAAATTCTGAATATTCTGAATATTCTGAATTCTGAATTTTCCTCGTCCTCGATGCTGCCAAAGGTTGGGGGAAAAAAAACAAAGGAATTTTTTCCTTGGGGTTGTCGGAATTGTGTCAGAATTTTCATTTTCGAGCCTGGGCTATTTTATTGCCTTTCTGTGGGAGGGGATTTGGGAATTTCGGGATGAAAATTCGGAATTTTCTGAATATTCTGAATATTCTGAATTCTGAATTTTCCTTGTCCTCGATGCTGCCAAAGGTTGGGGGGAAAAAAACAAAGGAATTTTTTTCCTTGGGGTTGTCGGAATTCTGTCGGAATTTTCATTTTCCAGCCTGGGGTACTTTATTGCCTTTCTGTGGTCGGGAATTTGGGAATTTCGGGATGAAAATTCTGAATTTTCTGAATTTTCTGAATATTCTGAATTCTGAATTTTCTGAATTTTCTGAATTTTCTGAATTTTCTGATTTTTCCTCGTCCTCAATGCTGCCAGTGGGGGGGGAAAACCAACGGAATTTTTTTCCTTGGGGTTGTCGGAATTCTGTCGGAATTTTCATTTTCCAGCCTGGGGTACTTTATTTCTTTCTGAATTTGAGAATTTCGGGATGAAAATTCTGAATTTTCTGAATATTGTGAATATTCTGAATTTTCCTCATCCTCGATGCTGCCAAAGATGGGGGGGAAAAAAAACAAAGGAATTTTTCTCCTTGGGGTTGTCGGAATTGTGTCGGAATTTTCAGTTTTTCATTTTCCAGCCTGGGGTACTTTATTGCCTTTCTGTGGGAAGGGATTTGGGAGTTTTGGGATGAAAATTCTGAATTTTCTGAATTTTCTGAATTTTCTGAATTTTCTGAATATTCTGAATTTTCCTCATCCTCGATGCTGCCGGTGGGGGGGGGGGGGGGGGGGGGAAACAAAGGAATTTTTCCCTTGGGGTTGTCGGAATTCTGTCAGAATTTTCATTTTCCAGCCTGGGGTACTTTATTGCCTTTCTGTGGTCGGGGATTTGGGAGTTTCGGGATGAAAATTCTGAATTTTCTGAATTTTCTGAATTTTCTGAATTTTCCTCATCCTCGATGCTGCAGTGGGGAAAAACAAAGGAATTTTTCCTTGGGATTGTCGGAATTGTGTCAGAATTTTAATTTTCTGTTCCTGAGGTGGGGTGGCTCTGGCTGTGTCCCTGCTGGGATTGATCTCCTCGAAAAATCAAGGATGAGAGGGTTATTTCCTTTCTGTGGGATGGGTGTGGGAATTTTGGCATGAAAATTCTGAATTTTCTGAATTTTCTGATTTTTCTGATTTTTCTGAATTTTCTGAATTTTCTGAATTTTCTGAATTTTCTGAATTCTGAATTTTCCTCGTGCTCGATGCTGCAGTGGGGAAAAACAAAGAAATTTTTCCTTGGGATTGTTGGAATTCTGTCGGAATTTTAATTTTCCGTTCCTGAGGTGGGGTTGCTCTGGCTCTGTCCCTGCTGGGATTTATATCCTCGAAAAATCAAGGATGAGGAGGTTTTTATTTCCTTTTTGTGAGATGGGTGTGGGAATTTCGGGATGAAAATTCTGAATTTTCTGAATATTCTGAATATTCTGAATTTTCCTCATCCTCAATACTGCCAGGGAGGAAAACCAAATGAATTTTTCCTTGGGATTATCGGAATTCTGTTGGAATTTTTCATTTTCCAGCCTGGGGATTGGGATTTCCTGAGGCGGGGTTGCTCTGGCTGTGTCCCTGCTGGGATTGATCTTGAAAAATCAAGGATGAGGAGTTTTTTCCCCTTTCTGTGGGATGGGTGTGGTCGGGAATTTGGGAATTTCGGGGTGAAAATTCTGAATTTTCAGCCCAAAGATGAGGGAGTGAAGCAAGACTGGGAAGCCACGACAAAGGAATGTGGGAGCCTTGGGGAAAATCCCATTAATTATCCAGAGCTCCCCACCTAAGGAGCATCCCAGGGATTGTTAATTAGTGGAATCACTAATTGTGGAATTGTGGAATGGTTTGGGCGGGAAAGGACCTTAAAGCCCATCCCATTCCAACCCTGAACGCTCCCAGAATCCCAGGCTGCTCCAGGGATATGGCAGGGCATGGAATGGGATGGGATTGGAGGGCCCTTCCCACCCAAACCATTCCGGGATCCTCTGGAGCTGCTGGGATGGCTCCGGGATGGAATTCTGTCCCAGCAGTGAAATACTTTGGGATGTGGCTCCAAGGGAAAAAAATAGGATCCAGGGAATCCTTGGAGACTTTTCCAGAGGGGTTCCAGGAGAGCTGGGATTTGGGGAAGGGCTGGAGGGGCAGGAGCCAGGGAATGGCTTCCAGTGGGAAAGGGGAGCTTGGGATGCTGGGATCCTGGGAAGGGATTCCTGGCTGGGCTGGAATTCCCAGAGAATCCCTGGCAGTGCCCAAGGGTGGATTTGGAGCACCCTGGGATGGTGGGAACTGTCCCTGGCATCATGGGATGGGGTCCATGGATCCCATCCCAAACCATTCCAGGATTCTGGGATCAAGGACATGCAAAGTCCATCCTGAGGGATTTTCAAGGAATTTGGGGATGGAAAAGGGAAGGGAGACCCTTCCTGGAATCCTGAACTCCCACTGAAACCCCTGAATCCTGAAATTCCTTCCCATATTTGGGATGGGGCTGGATCCAACGCCAGGCTGGGAGAGCAGCTGGGAATGTGCAGCTGGATCAGGGGAGGATCCAGGGAATCCTTGGAGCCGCTTCCCCATCCCAAAGGGGCTCCAGGAGAGCTGGGATTGGGGCAAGGGCTGGAGGGGCAGGAGCCAGGGAATGGCTTCCAGTGGGAAAGGGGAGCTTGGGATGCTGGGATCCTGGGAAGGGATTCCTGGCTGGGCTGGGATTCCCAGAGAATCCCTGGGAGCATCCAAGGGGAGGTTGGATCACCCTGGGATAATGGGAGGTGTCCCTTCCCATGGGATGTGATGAGGTTGGAAATGTCCCTTCCCACCCAAAACATTCCAGGATTTCAGGAGCCCCGAGCATCTCCAGGAGAAACAGGGAATGGGACAATCCCGACACTCCTGGTCCCTCTGGAATGATCCAGGATGTGGCTGATGCAGCTGGAAAAATAAACCACAGGAAAAGGGGAAGGGCCGGAAATTCCAAACGATTCCAGGAAATAATTGAGTGGAGACAAAAAATTCCAAACTGGGAAAAATTTTGAGTCCTCTTTGAGGAATGTTGGGACAAATCCCTCAAAATCCTTGGATTTTGGGCTCAGTGCTCAATAGCTGGGGCCAGAAAAACCGGGGAGAATGCCAGGGATTATCCATGGGATCCTACACCTCCTTCCTCCATGGATTTGGAATTTGGGTGTGGCCGCACATTCCCCGGCTCACATCCAACTTCCATCCCAAATTTGGGGTGAAATCCAGGCGGGAGGGGAAGGAGAGGCCGGGCTCAGCCCGGAAACCTCCCCGGACGGAATTCCCGTTTCCCGGGGGTTCGGAATCCCGGGAATCATCCCGGGTTTTACCTGAAGACCTGGTAGAAGGCGTGCTTGTGTTTGTTATTCCAGTCCTCCAGGTCGATCCGTAGGGAATAATCCCCCTGGCTGGTCATCCTGTGGATGTTGTCGTTGCCCAGCCAGAATTCCCCGTTGAGGTCCCCGAATCCTTCCTTGTACTCGTTCCAGGTCCGGTTGAAATCCACGGATCCGTCCTGGCGCCTCTGGATGACGGTCCAGCCTCCCCCTGCCGGGAAAACGGGAGAATCCAGGGGGAAACCCGGAGCGCTCCAGGCAGATCCGTCGGGCAAAAGCGGAGTTCGAATCCCTGGAGTTGTCCAGGAGAGCTGGGATTCTGGGATTTGGGATGAATGGGTGGAAGGGCAGGAGCCAGGGAATGGCTTCCCGCTGGGAATGGGGAGATTGGGGTGGGATTTTGGGAAGGGATTCCCGGCTGAGCCGGAATTCCCAGAGAAATCCCAGATCTCCAGCTGGAGAGGGGTTTGGGAAAAGGGCCTGGAATGCCAGGACAGGGAATGGCTCCCACCATGGCCAGAGGGTCGGGAATTTTGAGATTTTGGGATCTCGGGAAGGAATTCCTGGCTGGGAGGGTGGGGAGGGGCTGGGCTGGAATTCCCAGAGAATCCCTGGATCCCTGGCAGTGTCCAAGGAATGGTTGGAGCACCCCGGGATTGTGGGATTGAGGGTCCATGGATACCATCAATGGGATTCTGGGATCAAGGACACTCAGGATCCATCCCCAGGGATTTTTATGGAATTTGGGGATGGAAAAGGGAAGGGAGACCCTTCCTGGAGTCCTGAATTCCCAGTGAAATCCCTGGATCCTAGAAATTCCTTCTCAAGGAGGAGTTGGGAAAAGGGCCTGGAATGGCAGGACAGGGAATGGCTCCCACCATGGCCAGAGGGTTGGGATTTCAGGATTTTGGGATCTTGGGAAGGAATTCCCGACTGGGCTGGAATTCCCAGAGAATCCCTGGCAGTGTCCAAGGAAAGGTTGGAGCACCCTGGGATGGTGGGATCGAAGGTCCATGGATCCCATCCCAAACCATTCCGGGATTCTGGGATCAAGGACACTCAGGATCCATCCTCAGGGATTTTTATGGAATTTGGGGATGGAAAAGGGAAGGGAGACCCTTCCTGGAGTCCCCAATTCCCAGGGAAGCTCCTGGATCTCCTCCTGGAGAAGAGTTGGGATGGGGATGGATCCAATCCAGGAGAGCTGGAGAGGGATTTGGGAAAAGGGTCTGGAATGGCAGGACAGGGAATGGCTCCCACCATGGCCAGAGGGTCAGGATTTTGGGATCTTGGGAAGGAATTCCTGTCTAGGCTGGAATTCCCAGAGAATCCCTGGCATTATCCAAGGGTGGATTTGGATCACCCTGGGATCATGGGAGGTGTCCCTGGGATGGGATTGAAGGTCCATGGATCCCATCCCAAACCATTCCGGGATTCTGGGATCAGGGACACTCAGGATCCATCCCCAGGGATTTTTATGGAATTTGGGGATGGAAAAGGGAAGGGAGACCCTTCCTGGAGTCCCGAATTCCCAGTGAAGCCCCTGGATCCCAAAATTCCTTCCTGGAGAGGAGTCGGGATGGGGCTGGATCCAATCCAGAAGCGCTGGAGAGGGATTTGGGAAAAGGGCCTGGAATGCCAGGACAGGGAATGGCTCCCACCATGGCCAGAGGGTCGGGATTTCAGGATTTGGGAAGGAATTCCTGTCTAGGCTGTAATTCCCAGAGAATCCCTGGGATCCCTGGGAACATCCAAGGAAAATTGGATCACCCTGGGGGATAGCGGGAGGCGCCGGGATTGGAACGGGACGAGATTCAAGGGTCCTTTCCCACCCCAACCATTCCAGGATTTAGGATTCCCCGCGCCTGCCTTGACCTCAAATCCCGGAATATCCGGATGAGACCCACCAGGATCATCCCGGGACGCCCCGAAATTCCCACCGGAGCAATTCCCAAACCCTCCCCGGATCCCCGGCAGCCTTAGGGAACCATCCCAGCTCCCAACCAGCCCTGGAATCACCGGGATCCAACAACAACAACAACAACAACAACAAGGAAATCCCTCGGGAATTCCGGACCTTCCGTGTCCATCTCGCAGAGGACCTCGATGGGAATTCCGCGCACGGAGGGCAGGATGCTGTAAATCCCGGATCTCCGGAGCCCGTTGGAGTAGACGGACGCGCAGTCGATGGGACAATTCCGGCCGTGCTTGATTTCTGGGAACGGGAACGGGAAAAGGGAGACGCGGTTACGGATTTTCCCATAAATGTGAAAAACGTGGGAAAAGAAAATCCCTGGATTTGGGGGTTCAGGGGTGAAATTTTGGCAATGAGGGTGCAGGTTTCAACGGTCACTGGGGATTTTTGCGGAGTTTTCCAGAGCTTAAAGGGGATTATTTCAGGGAGAATCCCAAATGATTCCAGGGAAAATCTGAAATTATTCCCATGAGAATCATAAATTATTCCAGGAAAAATTCAAAATTATTCCTGGGAGAATCACGAATTATTCCGGGGAAAATCTGAAATTATTCCAGGAAAAATTCAAAATTATTCCTGGGAGAATCCCAAATTATTCCAGGGAAAATCTGAAATTATTCTGGGGAAAATCCAAAATTATTCCATGGATAATCCCAAATTATTCCAGGGAAAATTTGGAATTATTCCAGGGAAAATCTGAAATTATTCCAGGGAGAATCATAAATTATTCCAAGCAAAATCCAAAATTATTCCAGGGAAAATCCCGGAATTATTCCAGGCAGAATACCAAATTATTCCAGGGATAATCTGAAATTATTTCAGGGAGAATCTCAAATTATTCCAGAGAAAATCCAAAATTATTCCTGGGAAAATACCAAATTATTCCAAGAAAAATTTAATTTGTTCTGGGGAGAATCATAAATTATTCCAGGGCAAATCCAAAATTATTCTGGGAAGAATCACAAATTATTCCAGGGAAAATCTGAAATTATTCTGGGGACAATACCCAAAAACCCGGAAAAAAAAATTCACTACAACCAGAGAATTTACAAAAAATCGTTCAGTTTTAAGTGGAAAAAATTAATTTTTTGTGGTAAAAACTTCAAATGTCTGGGGATTTTTTGTCGGCTTTTGGATGGAAAACATTCCCGGGATTTGGGCAAACTCCAGGTGTGATCCTGAGCGCATCCCACATCCACGGAGCTGGAAAAGTTATGGAAATCCCCACGGATCTGGGATGGAGCGGGATCCCACCACCATTCCCGATCCCATTCCCGATCCCATTCCCGATCCCATTCCCGATCTCATTCCCGGCCCCATTCCCGATCTCATTCCCGGCCCCATTCCTGGTCCCACTCCCGATCCCATTCCTGATCCCATTCCTGGTCCCATTCCCGATCCCATTCCTGATCTCATTCCTGACCCCATTCCTGGCCCCATTCCTGATCCCATTCCTGACCCCATTCCCGATCCCATTCCTGATCTCATTCCTGACCCCATTCCTGGCCCCATTCCCCATCCCATTCCTGATCCCATTCCTGGCCCCATTCCCGATCCCATTCCTGATCCCAATCCTGACCCCATTCCCGATCCCATTCCCAATCCCATTCCTGATCCCATTCCTGACCCCATTCCTGACCCCATTCCTGGCCCCATTCCCGATCCCATTCCCGATCCCATTCCCGATCCCATTCCCGACCCCATTCCCGATCCCATTCCCACCACCTGCATGCTGCATCTCTTCCTGGAAAAGAACCAAAATCCCAGCCAAAAAAAAAAAAAAAAGAAAAAAAACATCACTAAACCCAGAGAAATTAAAAAAAAAATGTTGCATTTTTAAGTGGGAAAAAGGGAATTTTTTTCATGGTAAAAGCAGATTTCTGGGAATTTTTTGGGGGTTTTTTGGATGCCAGGATTTGTGCAAACTCCAGGTGTGATCCTGAGCGCATCCTACACCCACGGAGCAACAGAAGTTTTCACAGAACCGAGATGGAGAGGGATCCCCACCCCATTCCTGATCCCATTCCCAATCCCATTCCTGACCCCATTCCCGGCCCCATTCCCAATCCCATTCCCAGTCCCATTCCCGGCCCCATTCCCGATCCCATTCCCGACCCCATTCCCGATCCTATTCCCGATCCCATTCCCACCACCTGCATGCTGCATCTCTTCCTGGAAAAGAACCAAAATCCCAGACAAAAAAAAAGAAAAAAAAATCACTAAAACCAGAGAAATTAAAAAAAAAAAAGTTGCATTTTTAAGCGGGAAAAAAGGAATTTTTTCATGGTAAAAGCAGATTTCTGGGAATTTTTGTGGGGGTTTTTTGGATGCCAGGATTTGTGCAAACTCCAGGTGTGATCCTGAGCGCATCCTACACCCACAGAGCTGGAAAAGCAACGGAAATCTTCACAGAACCGGGATGGAGCGGGATTCCCATCCCATTCCTGATCCCATTCCCGATCCCATTCCTGGCCCCATTCCCGGCCCCATTCCCAATCCCATTACTGATCCCATTCCCGATCTCATTCCCGACCCCATTCCCAGCCCCATTCCCGGCCCCATTCCCGGCCCCATTCCCGATCCCATTCCCGATCCCATTCCCACCACCTGCATGCTGCATCTCTTCCTGGAAAAGAACCAAAATCCCAGCCAAAAACAGGAAAAAAAAAATCACTAAAACCAGAGAAATTTAACAAAAAATGTTGCGTTTTTAAGCAGGAGAAAAGGAATTTTTTCATGGTAAAAGCAGATTTCTGGGAATTTTTGTGGGGGTTTTTTGGATGCCAGGATTTGTGCAAACTCCAGGTGTGATCCTGAGCGCATCCTACACCCACGGAGCTGGAAAAGCCATGGATGTCTTCACAGAACCGGGATGGAGCGGGATCCCCATCCCATTCCCAATCCCATTCCTGATCCCATTCCCGGCCCCATTCCTGATACCATTCCCGATCCCATTCCCGATCCCATTCCTGATCCCATTCCCGATCCCACTCCCGATCCCATTCCCACCACCTGCATGCTGCATCTCTTCCTGGAAAAGAACCAAAATCCCAGCCAAAAAAAAAAGAAAAAAAAAAATTCACTAAACCCAGAGAAATTAAAAAAAAAAAGTTGCATTTTTAAGTGGGACAAAAAGAATTTTTTTCATGGTAAAAGCAGATTTCTGGGAATTTTTTGGGGGTTTTTTTGGATGCCAGGATTTGTGCAAACTCCAGGTGTGATCCTGAGCGCATCCTACACCCACAGAGCTGGAAAAGCAACGGAAATCTTCACAGAACCGGGATGGAGCGGGATCCCCATCCCATTCCCGGCCCCATTCCCAGCCCCATTCCCCATCCCAATCTTGATCCCATTCCCGATCCCATTCCTGATCCCATTCCCGGCCCCATTCCTGATCCCATTCCTGGCCCCATTCCCGATCCTATTCCCGATCCCATTCCTGATCCCATTCCTGATCCTAATCCCGATCCCATTCCTGACCCCATTCCTGGCCCCATTCCTGATCCCATTCCCGGCCCCATTCCCGGCCCCATTCCCGATCCCATTCCCAATCCCATTCCTGGCCCCATTCCCGATCCCATTCCCACCACCTGCATGCTGCATCTCTTCCTGGAAAAGAACCAAAAATCCCAGCCAAAAAAAAAAGAAAAAAAACATCACTAAAACCAGAGAAATTTTAAAAAAAAAAAAAGTTGCATTTTAAAGCGGGAAAAAAGGATTTTTTTCATGGTAAAAGCAGATTTCTGGGAATTTTGTGGGGGTTTTTTTGGATGCCAGGATTTGTGCAAACTCCAGGTGGGATCCTGAGCGCATCCTACACCCACGGAGCTGGAAAAGCCATGGAAGTCTTCACAGGACCGGGATGGAGCGGGATCCCCATCCCATTCCCAGCCCCATTCCCGGCCCCATTCCCAGCCCCATTCCCGATCCCGTTCCCACTCCCACCTGGATGCCGCATCTCCTGCTGGGCGCGGATGTCGGCGGGGTGGAGGCAGCTGGGGTTCCTCCAGGCCCAGTCGGCCAGCGCCGAGATGTTGTTGATCTGCGCCTGGATGTCGTAGAGCAGCGTGGCCTGGATGTGCTGCAGCGTGCTGGATTCCCGGGAATGCTGCTCCAGGTCCTGCAGCCTCTGGAGCAGGCTCTGGTTCCGCCCCGCCGCCTCCTCCTGCTGCCGGCGGGGGGAAAAAAATATGGGAAAAATGGGATTGGGAATGATGTTGAGGTGGTGGGTCAAAGATGCCAAGGGATTCTCATGGTTGGGGTTGGAATTCTCACGGAGGATCCCAACCAGACTGGTATTCCCAGGATTCTGTGAGAGGGCAGGGAAGAGCAGGTTGGGAGTGTGGGAATGCTCCTGATCCATGGCATGGGCGGAAATCCAGGCCTGGTGTGGGAAATGGAATGGGATGGATCCACAGCCTTTCCTAGGAAGGATCAGAGGTGGAGGGTGTTCCATGGACAAAGCTCAAGGGTTTGAGATGGGTTTTGAGGAAATTATCCCTGGAATGCTCCTGGTCCAAATTCCTGCCAAATTCCAGGAGCCAGAAGCGCCCACGGAATAAACCCCATGGACATCACTTTTACTTGGGATCTCCAGAGCTTTGGGAATGGGATGGAGCCACAGCCTTTCCTGAGAAGGAATTCCTGCCAAATTCCAAAAAACCAGAACCGCCCCAAAGAACAAACCCCATGGGGCTGCGGCCTTGGACCTCACCTGGATCTCCAGCGCTTTGGGAATGGGATGGAGCCACAGCTCCTGCTCAGAAGGACCAAGGGAGAGATTCCACGGAAAAAACCACAAAAATTTGGGATTGATTTTGAGGCAATTAACCCTGGAATCCAAGTTCCGACCCTGCCAAATTCCAGGAGCCGGAACCACCCACGGAATGAACTCCATGGGCGACACTTTCACCTGGATCTCCAGGGCCTTGGGAATGGGATGGAGCCACAGCTCTTCCACAAGTTAAGGAGATTCCGTGGATAAAACTCAAGAATTTGGAATTCATTTTGAGGAAATTATCACTGGAATCCAAGTTCCAACCCTGCCAAATTCCAGGAGCCGGAACCACCCACGGAACAAAGCCCACAGGGGCGAGGGGTACATCCACATTTACTTGGATCTCCAGAGCTTTGGGAATTGGATGGAGCCACAGCCCTTCCACAGGTTAAGGAGATTCCATGGATAAAACTCAAAGATATGGGATTGCTTTTGAGAAAATTAACCCTTGAATCCAAGTTCCAACCCTGCCAAATTCCGGGAACCGGAACCACCCACGGAAACAAACCCCACCGGGGCAGCCTGGACCTCACCTGGATCTCCAGGGCTTTGGGAATGGGATGGAACCACAGCCCTTACTAAGAAGGACCAAAGGAGGGGATTCCACAGATAACACTCAAGAATTTGAAACTGATTTTGAGGAAATCATCCCTGGAATCCAAGTTCCAACGCTGCCAAATTCCAGGAACCGGAAGCACCCACAGAATAAACCCCATGGGGCGGCCACATTGACCGAGATCTCCAGAGCTTTGGGAATGGGATGGACCCACAGGTCCTGCTAAGAAGGATCAAAGGTGGAAGAGATTCCATGGATAAAACTCAAGGATTTGGGATTCATGTTGGGGAAATTGTCCCTGGAATGCTACTGATCCAAATTCCTGACAAATTCCAGGAACCGGAAGCACCCATTGAATAAACCCTATGGACATCACGTTTACTTGGGATCTCCAGAGCTTTGGGAATGGGATGGAGCCACAGCCTTTCCTGAGAAGGAACTCAAGGATTTGGGATTGATGTTGAGGAAATTATCCCTGGAATTTCCCGATCCAAATTCCTGCCAAATTCCTGGAACTGGAAGTGCCCATGGAATAAATCCAAGGGACATTTTTACATGGATCTGCAGGGCTGTGGGAATGGGATGGATGCACAGCCCTTCCAAAGGTGGAGGGGATTCCATGGGTGAAATTCAAGGATTTGGGATTGTTCTTGAGGAAATTATCCCTGGAATCCAAGTTCCAACCCTGCCAAATTCCAGGAGCTGGAACCACCCACGGAATGAACTCCATGGGCCTCACTTTTACCAGGATCTCCAGGGCTTTGGGAAGGGGATGGATCCACAGCTCTTCAAACAGTTAAGGAGATTCCATGGATAAAATTCAAGGATTTGGGATCGATTTTGAGGCAATTAACCCTGGAATCCAAGTTCCCACCCTGCAAAATTCCAGGAGCCAGAAGCCCCCATGGAATAAACCCCATGGACTCCACATCCACCTGGATCTCCAGGGCTTTGGGAATGGGATGGGTCCACAACCCTTCCAAAGGTGGAGGACATTCCACCGGTGAAACTCAAGGATTTGGGATTGATTTTGAGGCAATTAACCCTTGAATCCAAGTTCCAACCCTGCCAAATTCCAGGAGCTGGAATCCCCCATGGAAAAAAAAACCCCCATGGACACCACATTGACCTGGATCTCCAGGGCTTTGGGAATTGGATGGAGCCACAGCCCTTCCATAGGTGGAGGAGATTCCATGGGTGAAATTCAAGGATTTGGGATTGTTCTTGAGGAAATTATCCCTGGAATCCAAGTTCCAACCCTGCCAAATTCCAGGAACCGGAATCCCCCACGGAATGAACTCCATGGGCGCCACTTTTACCAGGATCTCCAGGGCCTTGGGAATGGGATGGAGCCACAGCCTTTCCTGAGAAGGAACTCAAGGATTTGGGATTGATGTTGAGGAAATTATCCCTGGAATGTTCCCGATCCAAATTCCTGCCAAATTCCTGGAACTGGAAGTGCCCATGGAATAAATCCAATGGACATTTTCACATGGATCTGCAGGGCTTTGGGGATGGAATGGAGCCACCGCCCTTCCAAAGGTGGAGGGGATTCCACGGATAAAACTCAAGGATTTGAGACTGGTTTTGAGGCAATTAACCCTGGAATCCAAGTTCCAACCCTGCCAAACTCCAGGAGCCAGAATCCCCCACAGAAATAAACCCCACAGGGGTGGCCTGGACCTCACCTGGATCTCCAGGGCTTTGGGAATGGGATGGAGCCACAACTCCTGCTCAGAAGGACCAAGGGGGAGATTCCACGGATAAAACTCAAAGATTTGGGACAGTTCTTGAGGCAATTATCCCTGGAATCCAAGTTCCAACCCTGCCAAATTCCAAGAGCTGGAACCACCCAGGGAATGAACTCCCACGGGCGCCACTTTCACCTGGATCTCCAGGGCTTTGGGAATGGGATGGAGCCACAGCCCTTCCACAAGTTAAGGAGATTCCACGGATAAAACTCAAAGATTTGGGATTGATTTTGAGGAAATTAACTCTGGAATCCAAGTTCCAACCCTGCCAAACTCCAGGAGCCAGAATCCCCAACGGAAATAAAAACGCCCTCCACGGTCGCCACCCTCACCTGTATCTCCAGGCTTTGGGAATGGGATGCACTCACAGCTCCTACTAAGAGGGATCAAAGGTGGAGGAGATTCCATGGATGAAACCCAGAGGTCTGGGACTGATCTTGAGGAAATTAACCCTGGAATGCTCCTGATCCAAATCCCTGCCAAAATTCCAATAAAACCAGAACCGCCCCACAGAACAAACCCCAACAGGGCTGCGGCCTTGGACCTCACACTGGATCTCCAGAGCTTTGGGAATGGGATGGAGCCACAGCTCCTGCTCAGAAGGACCGAGGGGGAGATTCCACGGATAAAATGCAATGATTTGGGATTGATTTTGAGGCCATTAACCCTGGAATCCAAGTTCCGACCCTGCAAAATTCCAGGAGCTGGAACCACCCAGGGAATGAACTCCATGGGCGACACTTTCACCTGGATCTCCAGGGCTATGGGAATGGGATGGAGCCACAGCTCTTCCACAAGTTAAGGAGATTCCATGGATAAAACTCAAGGATTGGGGATAGATTTTGAGGCAATTAACCCTGGAATCCAAGTTCCAACCCTGCCAAACTCCAGGAGCCAGAACCACCCACGGAAAAAACCCCATGGGGGGGCCACATTTACTTGGATCTCCAGGGCTTTGGGAATGGGACGGCGCCAAAGCTCCTGCTAAGAGGGATCCAAAGTGGAGGAGATTCCATTCCTGCCAAATTCCAAAAAACCAGAACCACCCCACAGAACAAAACCCCCTACGACCCCTTGGACCTCACCTGGATCTCCAGGGCTTTGGGAATGGGATGGAGCCACCGCCCTTCCAATGGTGGAGGAGATTCCATGGACAAAACTCAAAGATTTGGGGACTGTTCTTGAGGCCATTAACCCTGGAATCCAAGTTCCAACCCTGCCAAACTCCAGGAACTGGAATCCCCCATGGAAACAAACCCCACAGGGGCGGCCTTGGACCTCACCTGTATCTCCAGGGCTTTGGGAATGGGATGGAGCCACCGCCCTTGCTAAGAGGGATCCAAAGTGGAGGAGATTCCATGGATGAAACCCAGAGATCTGGGACTGATCTTGAGGAAATTAACCCTGGAATGCTCCTGATCCAAATCCCTGCCAAATTCCAGAAAACCAGAACCGCCCCACAGAACAAAACCCCCACGGGGCTGCGGCCTTGGACCTCACCTGGATCTCCGGGGCTTTGGGAATGGGATGGAGCCACAGCTCCTGCTCAGAAGGACCAAGGGGGAGATTCCACGGATAAAATGCAATGATTTGGGATTGATTTTGAGGAAATTCACCCTGGAATCCAAGTTCCGATCCTGCAAAAATTCCAGGAACCGGAAGCACCCATGGAATAAACCCCCATGGACTCCACATCGACCTGGATCTCCAGGGCTTTGGGAATGGGATGGAGCCACAGCCCTTCCAAAGGTGGAGGAGATTCCATGGGTGAAATTCAAGGATTTGGGATTGTTCTTGAGGAAATTATCCCTGGAATCCAAGTTCCAACCCTGCCAAATTCCAGGAGCTGGAACCACCCACGGAATGAACTCCATGGGCGCCACTTTCACCTGGATCTCCAGGGCCTTGGGAATGGGATGGAGCCACAGCCCTTCCACAAGTTAAGGAGATTCCACGGATAAAACTCAAAGATGTGGGATTGATTTTGAGGCAATTATCCCTGGAATCCAAGTTCTGACCCTGCCAAACTCCAGGAGCCAGAACCACCCATGGAACAAACCCCACATGTGGCCACATTTACTTGGATCTCCAGGGCTTTGGGAATGGGACGGAGCCACAGCTCCTGCTAAGAAGGATCCAAGGTGGAGGAGATTCCATTCCTGCCAAATTCCCAAAAACCAGAACCCCCCCACCGAACAAAACCCCCTACGACCCCTTGGACCTCACCGGTATCTCCAGGGCTTTGGGAATGGGATGGAGCCACCGCCCTTGCTAAGAGGGATCCAAGGTGGAGGAGATTCCATGGGTGAAACCCAGAGATCTGGGACTGATCTTGAGGAAATTAACCCTGGAATGCTCCTGATCCAAATCCCTGCCAAATTCCAGAAGACCAGAACCGCCCCACAGAACAAAACCCCCACGGGGCTGCGGCCTTGGACCTCACCTGGATCTCCAGCGCTTTGGGAATGGGATGGAGCCAGCCCTTCCAAAGGTGGAGGAGATTCCATGGACAAAACTCAAGTATTTGAGACTATTTTTGAGGGAATTATCCCTGGAATCCAAGTTCCGACCCTGCCAAATTCCAGGAGCTGGAACCACCCAGGGAATGAACTCCATGGGCGCCACTTTTACCTGGATCTCCAGGGCCTTGGGAATGGGATGGAGCCACAGCTCTTCAAACAGTTAAGGAGATTCCGTGGATAAAACTCAAGGATTTGGAATTCATTTTGAGGGAATTATCCCTGGAATCCAAGTTCCAACCCTGCCAAACTCCAGGAGCCAGAACCACCCACGGAACAAACCCCACATGTGGCCACATTTACTTGGATCTCCAGGGCTTTTGGGAATGGGACGGAGCCACAGCTCCTGCTACGAGGGACCAAAGGTGGAGGAAATTCCATTCCTGCCAAATTCCAAAAAACCAGAACCGCCCCACAGAACAAAACCCCCTACGACCCCTTGGACCTCACCTGGATCTCCAGGGCTTTGGGAATGGGATGGAGCCACAGCCCTTCCAATGGTGGAGGAGATTCCATGGACAAAACTCAAGGATTTGAGACAGTTTTTGAGGCAATTAACCCTGGAATCCAAGTTCCAACCCTGCCAAACTCCAGGAGCCGGAATCCCCCACAGAAACAAACCCCACAGGGGCGGCCTTGGACCTCACCTGTATCTCCAGGGCTTTGGGAATGGGATGGATTCCATTCCACAAACCTTACAAAGGTGGAGGAGATTCCACGGATAAAACTCAAAAATTTGGGGTTGATTTTGAGGCAATTCACCCTGGAATCCAAGTTCTAACCCTGCCAAATTCCAGGAGCTGGAATTCTCCATGGGAAAAAAACCCATGGACACCACATTGACCTGGATCTCCAGGGCTTTGGGAATGGGATGGATCCACAGCTCTTCCACAAGTTAAGGAGATTCCATGGATAAAACTCACAGACTGGGGATTGGTTTTGAGGCCATTAACCCTTGAATCCAAGTTCCAACCCTGCCAAATTCCGGGAACCGGAACCACCCACGGAAACAAACCCCACAGGGGCGGTCTGGACCTCACCTGTATCTCCAGGGCTTTGGGAATGGGATGGAGCCACAACTCCTGCTCAGAAGGACCAAGGGGGAGATTCCACGGATAAAATGCAATGATTTGGGACAGTTCTTGAGGGAATTATCCCTGGAATCCAAGTTCCGACCCTGCCAAATTCCAGGAGCTGGAACCACCCAGGGAATGAACTCCACGGGCGCCACTTTCACCTGGATCTCCAGGGCCTTGGGAATGGGATGGAGCCACAGCCCTTCCACAAGTTAAGGAGATTCCACGGATAAAACTCAAAGATTCAGGATTGATTTTGAGGCCATTAACCCTGGAATCCAAGTTCCGACCCTGCCAAATTCCAGGAGCTGGAACCACCCACGGAATGAACTCCATGGGCGCCACTTTCACCTGGATCTCCAGGGCCTTGGGAATGGGACGGAGCCACAGCTCCTGCTAAGAGGGATCCAAGGTGGAGGAGATTCCATTCCTCCCAAATTCCCAAAAACCAGAACCGCCCCACGGAACAAAACCCCCTACGACCCCTTGGACCTCACCTGTATCTCCAGGGCTTTGGGAATGGGATGGAGCCACAGCCCTTCCAATGGTGGAGGAGATTCCACGGATAAAACTCAAAGATGTGGGATTGATTTTGAGGCAATTAACCCTGGAATCCAAGTTCCAACCCTGCCCCATGGAAACAAACCCCACAGGGGTGGCCTTGGACCTCACCTGTATCTCCAGAGCTTTGGGACTGGGACGGAGCCACAGCCCTTGCTAAGAAGGATTCAAGGTCGAGGAGATTCCATTCCTGCCAAATTCCCAAAAACCAGAACCGCCCCACCGTACAAACCAAAACCCCCTACGACCCCCCTTGGACCTCACCTGGATCTCCAGGGCTTTGAGGCGGTGCCGGTGGTTGCGGAGCTCCTCCTGGAGCTCGGAGATGAGCTCGCGCAGCTCCAGGATCTGCTGCTTGCGCTCCTCGTTCTCGTGGAGCCAGTAGGAGACCTCGTCGGTGCAGCGGAACAGGTCCGGGGCAGCGCTGCTCGTCGCCCTGCGGCAGCGTGGCCACGATGCGGCAGCGCCCGTCCGGCAGCACCTGGTTGCTGTACTCGCCGCACCGGATCAGTCCCGGCGATCCCCGGGGATCCTCGTGCTCCCGGTAGCCGGCGGGAAGGGATTTCCCCGGGGATTGGCGGATCAGAGAGGCCAGGAGAGGAGGGAGAGCAAGGCGGCTTTTCCCGGTTGGAATTCCATGGGGGAGGCTTTAAAGACGGCTCCCGCCGATCCCTGGGAAATTTGGGTTTGTTTCCCGCAATTCCGAGAAGTTCGGATTTAATTCCCAAAATCCCTCCCCTGAAAAAATATGGGATTTATTTCCTACAATCCTGGGAAATTTGCAGTTATTTCACACAATCCCAAAAATTGCAGATTTATATGCCAAGATCCCAGGAAATTCGGATTTATTTTCAACAATCCTGGGAAATGTGGAAATGTGGGTTATTTCCCACAGTTTTGGGAAATTTAAATTTATTTCCCACAATCCCGGGAAATGCGGGTTTACTTCCCACAATTTTGGGAAATTCAGACTTAAGTCTCACAATTGCAGGAAATTCAGATTTATTTCCCACAATCACGGGAAATTCAGATTTATTTCCCACAGTCCTGGGAAATTCAGATTTATTTCCCACATCCCCCCAAAAAATAGGGGATTTATTTCCTACAATCCTGGGAAATTCGCAGTTATTTCCCACAATCCCAAAGAATGCAGATTTATATGCCAAAATCCCAGGAAATGTGGATTTATTTTCAACAATCCGGGAAATGTGGGTTATTTCTCACAATTTTGGGAAATTCAGATTTAATTCTCACAATTGCAGGAAATTCAGATTTAATTCTCACACTTGCAGGAAATTCAGATTTAATTCCCACAATCCCCCCCAAAAAATATGGGATTTATTTCCTACGATCCTGGGAAATTCGCAGTTATTTCACACAATCCCAAAGAATGCAGATTTATATGCCAAAATCCCGGGAAATGTGGATTGATTTTCCACAATCCCGGGAAATTTGGGTTATTTCCCACAATTTTGGGAAATTCAGATTTAATTCTCACAATTGCAGGAAATTCAGATTTATTTCCCAAAATCCTGGGAAATTCGCAGTTATTTCACACAATCCCAAAAATTGCAGATTTATATGCCAAAATCCCAGGAAATTCGGATTTATTTTTCCACAATCCCGGGAAATGTGGGTTATTTCCCACAGTTTTGGGAAATTTAAATTTATTTCCCACAATCCCAGGAAATGCGGGTTTACTTCCCACAATTATGGGAAATTCAGATTTAATTCTCACAATTGCAGGAAATTCAGATTTATTTCCCAAAATCCTGGGAAATTCGGATTTATTTCACACAATCCCAAAAATTGCAGATTTATATGCCAAAATCCCAGGAAATTCGGATTTATTTTCCACAATCCCGGGAAATGTGGGTTATTTCCCACAGTTTTGGGAAATTTAAATTTATTTCCCACAATCCCGGGAAATGTGGGTTTACTTCCCACAATTTTGGGAAATTGGGATTTAATTCTCACAATTGCAGGAAATTCAGATTTAATTCTCACAATTGCAGGAAATTCAGATTTATTTCCCAAAATCCTGGGAAATTCGCAGTTATTTCACACAATCCCAAAAATTGCAGATTTAACTGCCAAAATCCCAGGAAATTCGGATTTATTTTCCACAATCCCGGGAAATGTGGGTTATTTCCCACAGTTTTGGGAAATTTAAATTTATTTCCCAAAATCCCAGGAAATGCGGGGTTTATTCCCACAATTTTGGGAAATTCAGATTTAATTCTCACAATTGCAGGAAATTCAGATTTATTTCCCACAATCCTGGGAAATTCAGATTTATTTCCCAAAATCCCGGGAAATTCAGATTTATTTCCCAAAATCCCAGGAAATTCAGGTTTATTTCCCACAATTTTGGGAAATTCAGATTTATTTCCCACAATCTCAGGAAATGCGGATTTATCTCCCAAAATCCCGGGAAATTCAGATTTATTTCCCACAATTTTGGGAAATTCAGATTTATTTCCCAAAATCCCGGGAAATTCAGATTTATTTCCCAAAATCCTGTGAAATTCAGATTTATTTCCCAAAATCCTGGGGAAATTAGGATTTATTTCCCAAAATCCCAGGAAATTCAGATTTATTTCCCACAATCCCGGGAAATTCAGATTTATTTCCCACAATTTTGGGAAATTCAGATTTATTTCCCAAAATCCCAGGAAATTCAGATTTATTTCCCACAATCTTTGGAAATTTGGATTTATTTCCCAAAATCCTGGAAAATTCAGATTTATTTCCCACAATCTTGGGAAATTCGGATTTATTTCCCAAAATCCCGGGAAATTCAGATTTATTTCCCACAACCTTTGGAAATTTGGATTTATTTCCCAAAATCCCAGGAAATTCAGATTTATTTCCCACAATCTTTGGAAATTTGGATTTATTTCCCAAAATCCCGGGAAATTCGGATTTATTTCCCACAATTTCAGGAAATTCGGATTTATTTCCCAAAATCCCGGGAAATTCAGATTTATTTCCCACAATCTTTGGAAATTTGGATTTATTTCCCACAAAGCTGGGGAAATTCAGATTTATTTCCCAAAATCCCAGGAAATTCAGATTTATTTCCCACAATTTTGGGAAATCCGGATTTATTTCCCACAATCTTTGGAAATTTGGATTTATCTCCCAAAATCCCAGGAAATTCAGATTTATTTCCCACAATCCTGGGGAAATTTGGATTTATTTCCCAAAATCCTGGGGAAATTCCGATTTATTTCCCAAAATCCCAGGAAATTCAGATTTATTTCCCAAAATCCCAGGAAATTCAGATTTATTTCCCACAATTTTGGGAAATCCGGATTTATTTCCCAAAATCCCAGGAAATTCGGATTTATTTCCCAAAATCCTGGGAAATTCAGATTTATTTCCCAGAATCTTGGGAAAATTCAGATTTATTTCCCAAAATCCCAGGAAATTCAGATTTATTTCCCACAATCTTGGGAA